AGCATGACAGGACACAAAGCCAAGGAGGACAGGATTTAAACAGGAAAGCATCAATAGTGATCAGCCAAGCAGGGTGTTTGGTGCCACACACTGCAACTGTCAAACTACACTGGCTGTTTAAGAGCAGCACAGGGAGTTTAAGTTCTAAAGCTCTCCCTCCTTGCTGACAGTTGATTATGTTCACTCACTCAATGGGTCTAAAGAGCCACCAATGCAGATGCAGATCAATACACACCAAAATTTGAAAGGCAGCAACTAATTCTTGCCCACCCCACCCCACAGACAGATGTAACCTAGCAAGGCTCCCATGGAAGCGTGTACCAGAGATGAAGCAGCAGCAAGTTCCCAAACCTCAGCCAGCTGCTTGTGATGGTAGAGCTCACCCTGACTCTTGGAGAGAAAGAGTGCACTGAAACGACACTAGAGGCAAATACGGATTACTAACCTGCTCAGCAGCTGCCTGGCTGCCCTGAAAGGCTCCTCCCCACCCCTCTGCTGAGGCCACCAGCCACACACCTGAGTCTCCCTTCTCCTCCACTCCCAAGCCACTCTCATGAATCCTCTACCTCCCACTTACCCAAAACCTGCAGACATCAAAGGCACCTGCCTTGAACACCTGAAGAGCAGGGGGGCCTGACGGTCAAGAAATGCAGCTCTGTATCTTCCCCTTCCACGCACTCTATGTTTTTTTTTTTTCCCCTATCCCTTTGAAAAAGGTGGCAGAGATAAATGGAGAACAAAGAAAGAAGAAAAAGCCACAGCTTTGGCCCACACCCTGCCTATTACTTAAGGGGGAAGGAACTCTTCCGAAAGAGGAGGAAAAAAAACGTGCTCAGACACAATGGCTCAAAAGGCCAGGCAGCAAACCGGGCCACTTTGTACTGCTAACAAGGGAAACCTAATTACAGGAAGAGGGCAAAGAGGGACAGATAAAAGGGATACAAAATTTCAACATCTGTTGCCATAAAGGGATAAGAAGTGGGGAAACGCAAAGTGTCAGTTTGGTGTCAGTGACGGCGTAAAGCCACTTTCAAAGGGCTCAGGAGAGGGAGAAAAACCGAACAAGAAATTAGAGGGTTCTTAAAAAAAAATAAAAAAACCAACAGAAACCCACCCACACACAAAAAAAATCACTCTGCCAAAAATGCTCTCAAAAGGGGGGAGGAGATGGACAAAGACTGGATATTTAAAAGGTAGAGGATCTGGGGTGGCTCGCAGGGCACAGCTAACTTTGGCTCAGTTTGCACAACAGCTCTCATGCCCTGTGAGTGTCATGTTGTGTCACAGGAAAGGACAAGGTAGGGTTCCACATTCAAAGTGCCTGCAGCGTGAGGACTGCCAGGCCAGACACACCACTGGTCCATCTCAAACATCAGGCTTTGCAGAATAGCTCCAAGAATTGCTGCAAAGCCACCTCTGGATTATAGTACCTTATGGAGAAGCCTCCCTGAGGTATGGGCATGTGTCTCCTAAAGACATGCAGACCATCACCATAGGGTGGAGAGCAACAGTTCTCCATGAGCCAACAACCAGTGCTGGCCTTGGAGCTGTTCCCAGTGGAGCATCACCCTTGAGTACCAGAGGTACCTGACCTGCAAGGGGGGCTGCTGCCACCATACACCTCGCTGGCACAGAGGGGCAAGGGGACTTGCAAGAGGCCAGGGAGCCAGCAAAGCCTGATACTTGATGCAAGGAGACCAGCCAACCTCCAGCAGCCATCCGTGCTGCCAATGGTCTCCTTTCCTGTGCAGGTCTCTAATCACCTACGTTACTCACAGCCCCGCTCCACGCACACACCCCGAGCAGCAATAAGTGCACAGCAACTTCCCCACATCTAAAAGCAATCAGATGGCACAAAGTAGCATCTGGGGGATGAGATATGTCCTCCAGAGGTGCAGCCAGCCAGCTTCAAAAGCATAACTACACAAAAAAAAAAATCCTCCTTCATTACAGGAGAAAAGGGCCAGGTGTAGCAACAGCTGGAATTTCAGCCATCAGAGACAGTGCCTTGGCATTACGCGGTCATTCCCCTGCTTTAGACTCCCCCTGACAATTGCTTGTTGCTGCCTGTTGTGGCTTTGATCCAATGCCATCATCTCAGCAGAGTCAGAAATGAAAGACAGTCGTGGGGGTGGGAGGCAGCAAGAGGCGTTTCTTTTCCCCCCCCACTAAAAACTTCCTCGCCATCAAACCCAACCCAACCCAACCCTTTTCAAAGCCCAGAACATATTTCCAGGTGAAGACATTATCCCTTCCCTCTCGGAGGGATGAGAATGGCTGCCCCAGGGTCAGGGAACAGCGAAGGTCATAAATAGGAAAACATACCATGACCAACAGCTACAAGCACCAGCAAGGACTTATCTGGCCTGGAACTAAGAAGATCAGTACACAAAAGGTTATTTAAGCTTTAAATCCTTTTGTAGCATGTTCCAGCTCTCAGCTGTTGGGGGAAAAAGACCACCTACCCCAAGGGAAGAGAATGCCACAGAAACTGCTGCAATGTTACTTACACATAGCCCTATGTAGAAAAAAAAACCCATCTAAGTGAACTAGGTGGTCTTGGACAGCACTAAACATCTCAGTGGTGCTAAGGATCCTGTATTTTTCAAGAATATGTCTTAAGCACAGCTCTATCCTGCTTCATTTTTTTTGACAGAGAAGTTGCCTGGATTCTGCTCTTAGAGACAGTGTCCCTGCCACATTCAGCCTCTGCAGGTCAGACTCAGGCCCTTTGTGGCCACGAGGAAGAAGTAACCAGCAAACTCAGGGGGCCTGGCTCTGTCTGCCAGATGTTGTTAGGACACACGGGGCACAGGAGGAGCTTTTCAGTCGTGGGGTAGCTCTAAGATTTTGAGCTTCCACGCCACGCTCCCACTTCTGGAGTCTGACCAGGGAGACAACACGCACAAGCCTCAAAGGACAAAATAGTGACTGCTGAAGCCTTTGAAAATTAATCCAAAGCTCTGCTGGGAAGAACAGTTTATGGAGAGAAGTCAAGAGCTGGAAGAACAGCTCTGTAGTCCCTCGCTATGAAAGATCACATCAAGCTTCACAGGCCAGTCTCCTGGCTGTGCTCCCTACTCAGTCTCCTGCACGTGCTGATGAGACTCTCAGCTCACACACAGGTCCCCGGAGAGGAAAAGCCCCAGTGGCATGGTGCATTCCAGCTGTGACAGGTGAAGAGGGAAGAATAAGTTTGACACTCCAGCCATTGCAACAGAGGCCCAGTGGCCTAGGTTGCTTTGGCTTTTTTATTTGCCTGTCACTCAGGCTTTGACATTATTGAAAGATCAAACTCCGTTGTGCCTGTTCATTACCTTAATCCTATTTTCTACACAGCTTTATTATCTCTTCAGGCTTCCTTGGGAAAGGCTGTCAGAGAGGCTGGGGCAGGGGGGAGAGGGTTGCCCATCTCCTCACTCCTGTCAGATGCTTCTATTCAAGAGCAGCCGGAAGACTTGATGGGCAGGGGTATCACAGCACAGCCAACATCCTTCTGGGGTATTCCAAAGGCACCACTGGACTAGGGGACCAAGGACCATACACCATAGCTGAATCATGGACTCATGGAACTGTCAGAGTTGGAAGGGACCTCTAGAGACCCTCCAGTCCAACCCCCCGGCCAAAGCAGGGCTGCCCAGAGCACATCACTCAGGAGCATCCAGGCGGGGCTTGAAGATCTCCAGAGAAGGGGACTCCACACCCTCCCTGGGCAGCCTCTGCCAGGCCTCTGCCACCCTCACCCCAAACAAGTTCTTCCTCCCATTGCAGTGGAACTTCCCATGGTCCAGCTTGTGCCCGTTGCCCCTCGGCCTGTCCCTGGGAACCACTGGAAAGAGTCCGGCTCCATCTTCCTTCAACCCCCCCTTTAGAGACTTGTCAGCATGAAGAAGGTCTCCCCTCAGCCTTCTCTTCTCCAGGCTGATGCACTGGCACTGCCTTTCCTGCTCCAGATTGCCCTTTGTGTTATGTGTTCTTTGCAAAGTCTTTACTTTTGTTACTTCAGAGAAAAACAGCTTTATATTTATATTTGTCTGAGTCAACTGCATCTGTTTAACCTATAGATTGGAAGGCAATTGGCCTCAGACCAGTCCTGCATCCACACCAATCTTCCCCTACACCTCCTTTCCCCAAATGCAGCTCTGCTGACACCCCTCAGGCCCCTTCTGCCATTGTCTCCCTCTCTCCCCACCCCAGAGCCCACCAGCTCACCTCCATCCTGATGGCACTCCCTTACTAACCTCTGCTGTGCCACTCCTACCCAGAGCATACCAGTCCTGGAAAGCTGAGCTGGCGTTCAATAATCCTGCCAAATATTTGCTGTCTGTCCATCACTGCACAAAGACCCCCAGGCTGAGAGTTTCAAATTTGTCAGTAGTTGAGTCTCGCGTCAGAATTTGAGCCCAACATTTCCCCAGTCGCTAAGGTCAGCACCTTCACCAAACAGGAACTACTCAATGGCCCCAAATCGGAGGCCACAGCAATTAACCTCCTCAATGCTTATTAAGACAGAGGGAAGACAACACGCTTAAGTCAATTCCCTAGATAACCTGTCGCCGCCCCTCATCTCCCTGAGCTACCAGAAACACCAACCAGGACAAGATGACTGTAGAGCCTGCACCTGCCTCTGCCTTCTGAGCACCACAGACAAGTGGGTGAATGGGAGGAGGCAGATCACCTTCCTCATCCTTCTGGCTCAGCCTGAAGCATCAGCTGAGACAGATGAAAAGGAAGGTGTAATGGGCATATGAGATTGTACATGGGTAATGGGAAGAAACCAGTATGGTTGCACCACCAAGTAGAAGAGCTGGGAAGAAAAGTCAAGCTGCTCCCCACTGAACCAGAACCACCTCCCACTTTCCCCCCCTACACCATTCCATCCCCCACTGAGTCCCACATCTCATATTTAAATGTCCCTTGCCTACATGGACTAAAGGAATCATTTTATGGCATCTCCAGTATTGCATTTCTCATCGTTTATTCACTTCTCTCATCAAGTCCCTCCCTGTAACCCAGAAGCTCACTCACCTCTCAAGGTCCCAGATTCTCAGAGGTGAGGTGTGTCCACAGCAGGCTGTTCCAGTCACAAATGAGCTGTTTAAAAAACACAAACAAGCAAATAAAAAACCCCACTTACTAATCCTCATGTTTTGAAGAAATAGTACATGAGCAAGACAGAGAACATGGACTAGAAGACAGGCTCTGAATTCTGTTTCAAGACTGTTCCACCACGTTTCACAAGGGGCAGGCAGCAGCAAAGGGAGAGGTGCTCCAGAGCTCTCAGTAGCTGAGCTTCACACAGCTCACAACAGCAGGGAACTGCCAGGACATGAAGATGTATTTGCAGATGCAATGGGAAAACCTAAAATAGGAGCAGCTGTAAATTGCGATGACATTTTCCAAACAGTCAGCACAGCACTCAGCATGTTTCATACACAGTCAGTGCTGTAAAGCTGCAGAAAGACCCCAGGAAAAAATTTCCTGTTACTTCACGTCTTGCTTTTGATTGCTGGCAGCTTCTGAGCAAAATCATGAATTGGCTGCAGCATCCCAGGCCTAACAAATCACAGAATAGAGTTCTCCAGTCCAGCCTGCTCAAAGCAGGATCAGGTTGCCCTCCCCAGTGCTCAAGCACTCTCTATTAGAGGCAACACAGCTCCCTCGCAGCAATATTTGGCTCAGTTCACGCTCTCCAGCAGGGTCCATTCCAAAGTCCTCTCTGGCAACGCTACGTCCCTGCTGCACATGCTGGTTCCAGAAGTCACCTGACAGCCACTGGCCTCAAACTAGTTGATAAGATGGGGAAAAAAATCTTTAAAAATCAAGCACACGGGTGCTGTGGCTCCCCACACCACACCGCTTATTTTGTGCCAACTTCCTATCCTCAGTCCAAATAAGAGAAAGCAGCTCATACAGAGACTTTTAAGTAAGCTATAAATGACCTCTCAACAAAGCCACATTTATTACAGCTACTGAGAATAAAATGCCAAAACTATGTTTAAGTCATTGCAACAGGGATAGCACGAATGCAGGAAACGGGGAGGCTTTAAATAAAAGCCAGCTCCATGCTTTGCCTACACATCTTTTGCAGCGTGACATGGGGCTGGCAGCTGAAAGAGGAAAGCAAAATAAGGAAACAATGTCATGTCTGTAAAAATAGCAGTTTTTAAATATTTCTTTGATCCTCTACAACATTCTTCTTTGGAAGCCAGAAGGTGTCCCCAAGCCTCTGCTGTACTAGGAAGGGATTCTTGCAACGTCCTTGACTTCAGAGAAGCAGCACTGCTGGTGCTACAGACACCCAACAGCAAAGTAGTGAACACACACTCAAAGCGAGAGAAGAGGCACGTGGAAGCAGGGCCAGAACTCAGGAGTCCTTCTGCTCCTAGTTCTGTGGTTTACCCAAACAATTGCTTTCTCCAAATCATAGAATCACAGAACTCTCTAGGTTGGAAGGGACCTTTCAGATCATTCAGATTTCAGTCTCTTCTCCCAAGTCACAGGTGATGGGACAAGAGGAAACGGCCTCAAGTTGCACCAGGGGAGGGTCAGATTGGAGATTGGGAACAATTTTTCCACGGGAAGGGTTCTTAAGCCTTGGAATGGGCTGCCCAGGGAAGGGGTTGAGGCCCCATCTCTGGAGGGATTTCAAAGCCGGGTTGCCATAGTGCTTAGAGCCATGGGTTAGTGATGGGTTTATCAGAGTTAGGGTGATGGTTGGACTAGATGACCTGAAAGGTCCTTTCCAACCCAGACAATTCTGTGATTCTCCATGGAAGTCCATGACCAAAGCCTGAGAGTCTAATGAAAAGCCAATTCCTGTCACTGTGCAGCAGCCATGAGGACCAATTCAGAAAGCAGCATCATTTCGTATGTGGAGTTTGTGCTCAATACCTGTCTTCTCTCCACCATAGTGCAGGACAAGAGGGAACGTCTCCCTTTTGCTGATGTCTCCCATTTCAGAGGAAAACAAGCAAAAGACACCCAACTCTGACATCTCACCAGCCAAAGCCCACGTCTGGAAAGCAACGCTCTGGTCAGGCAGTCCCTCAGCTACAAAGCTAGGTGTTGGGTTCTGTCCCTCCCTCCCCAAACATAATCCATTAATAACTACTAAAGCCAATTACCGTGGTTAGAAACATAATAGCAGTCAGGGAGTCAGTCAAGCAGGCAATTGGGTGTTTAAGATTTTTCTTTTGGGGGACAAACTGACTCTGTCCCAGCAGAGAACACCCTCGCGTGGGAGACAGGCCCCTTTGTGCAGAAGGTATGCACAAGGCTTTGATGGTTGCCACAGGTCTAAATTAGCATGGAGGCACACCAACAGGGAGAAAAAGGTGGGAGGAACAGCAAGGTCTAATCCCCGCTCATGCTGTCAATTCTGGACTTCACCGTTCCCTCCTCAGCCCTTACCCCCAACCCCACCAGAAAAAAAAAAAAAAAAAGAAGAAGAAAAAAAGCATTAGATTAAGAGATTTCTCTCCAGCATCGCATAGAGGCCTCAGGGCCACAAACAAGTCTTTTCTGGGTAAAGCTGACTCCATTCAGTCAACAGGAATTTTGTCTCATACTTCAGCAGGATCAGATTTGCAGGCCTTATCTTTACCAGGCTGGAGCCCATTAGCAAGCAGAGATAAGACTTCTCCCAGGAGAGCGGGGCACCTTCGCTGCCAGGATTAGAAAGCAGCACTCACCAGACATGCACAAGAAGTGGTGCCAATGAGAAATTGTCAAAGCCTGGGAGTGGACTGACCTGGAAGCCTGGATTCCATGGGGATGACACAGGGCCTCTCACCTTGGGTCTGGTCTGCAGGCCTACACCTTCAAACCCCCAGGCCCCTCGTAACTGGGAACCTCACACAAGGGGACATTTTCACTCTAAGCAACCCAAGTCAGCTTTGGTAGGTTTAAAACACCATGCAAATTGGAGCTGGGCATGTAAAGCTTGACTCCAAAACTTCTGAAACATCGTTCAGCAGAACTGAAGCTTTCTACCAGGCTTGCTTCTTTCAGTTAACCTTCAACAAGGCTTTTTGTCTCAGGAAACACAGAGCCCACACCAAAAAACTCTGACCTAGAGAAGTACAACCTCTTCACAACTGTTCTTGCCAGCTGCCCAAGAGAAGCTGCTCAAGCTGAGCTACCAGCTTAGTGAGAGTGTCATTTATTTTGCCTAAAATGCTTTCAGAAGTCAGAGAGACTGAGGAAAGACTAGATTGGGAAGAGGAGACCACAAGATACCCCAATATATATTACTGCAGGGAGGAGCCATCTCTCTGAAGTAGGTATGATACTCCTGATGTCCACAGACATTGACCAGATGTATCGACACACTACATAAAAACTGCTGTGTCCAAGCTTCAGGTGGCCTTGGAGATGCAAAGTCCCTTCCCCATTAAGCCTTCCTCTGCTCTGTGACTGCAGGCTCCCTCCAAAAGGCTCCTCTAATGGGAAAAGGAGCACCATGGCAGGGCTTCCATAACAGGGCATGTTGGCTTCACAGGGGTTCCCCAGCAGGACAAAACAAGCAAGCCAACGTAGGGTTTTCACCTCTGCCACACCAGGAAGGCGAGGAATTCGCAGAGCATTGAGACACACATACTTTATACACAGCATGTTTTTGTTGTCCAAAACAAGGCGTTTTCCAACTCATCTGATACTTTCAATTCCTCTTTCCCATTTGAAATGCCCTACTGATACAAGGAAAAAAAAATATTAAAGAGCCAAACAAACAAAAAAGAGAACTGCTTCTCCTGAAGCCAGACCTTCTCAATGCTACAGAAGACCAACTTCATTAAAGATCATCCCCACACACAAGAAGCTGGGCCAGGGGATGAGAGATAATGTGATCCTGGCAGTGCTGTTGAAGAAACAGAACTTCATCTGACTGACTTGTGGTTGTTGAAGATCCTGTGGCATTTCTGGCAACAGCAGTACTGCTCTGGCGACAGTCCAGCTACAATGACACCATCCCAGTTCCTGAGGTGCCAACTACCTGGTTTCACCCCACCTGGAGCATCCCTCTTTACTCCATCCTGGAGAGAACATTCTCAGATGTGGATGAAGTGGAGCTGCACATCAGTCTTTTCAAAAAGATGCTTTTTGCCATGAGGCTTGGAAACGGTCTCAGCTCCAGAGATGCAAATCCCAATTGTACACCACATACCTTCCTCACTTTCAACCCAAACTTCAGGGCAAGCACTGCCCGAGCTGGGACTCCTGCAACGAAGAGTAATTGAAGGAACCTGGGTGAAACAGGCCCTTTCCAACCTCTTCTGTCTAAACTTCCCCCCATGCCCCACGCTTCGTGCCCTTCCCCTGTACTGTAAACAGATTGCTTCTCAAGTCCTATTCTGCTCTTTGGGGATTTCAAATCCAGAATCTGCTCGACACGTGCAAGAGCCTGTTCCTTCCTCCTCACGCGCTCCCCCGCCCCCTGGAATGGGACGTCGTTGTTCCATTTTGGAGACTATTATAGACGGAGACTCGTCGGAGCGGGAAACAAA